CATCCTTGCCCGCAGCCAGAGCTAAATTAAATTTCTCGATGCTTTTCATGCCTATTTATAGTCAGAGAGTATGACAACATTGATTGGCTCATAGATTTAGCCTATGTGCATTTTGATTGGTCAGCCAAAGCTCGCTGCTGATTGGCTACTTTAGAGCCTAACGTTCTCGAAAATTCAAGTGTGTTTATTTTAGCACATAAACTCACTCAAAACCTTTAAAAAATTTGGTTATATTAATAAAAATTATGCAACTCAATCTGACCACAGAAATTTCCATCCAAGTACTAATTTTGCATGGTTTCTATGAGTGAAAAGTTGATTAAACATGTAAATACAGCTTAAAACTGAAATTGTGCTGGATTTTTTCACACAGCTGTACATGCATATTTACCAATCTCAAAAGTTTAAAGAGTAAAAAAAAATTAAAAGCTAGGAATTTATTTGCAAGTTTGATGAAATTATTTCTATGGAATGTTGTAAGGATTTGTGCCTTCTCTGTTTTGGAAGCCAGTTTCTTATCCTTGTTTTATTGTATAGCTATGCTTACTTTGAAAATGATTCAGAAATATGTTGTCAACTCTTGTAAATTATTGTCTCTCTTGATCACTATGGAGGGGATGTTATGGGAGGGGGAAATATTTGGGACATACACTATGTAGACATCTGTTGAAAATCTTTTCAGATTTAAAATTTTGTCTTCATGATGGCCAAATATTGAATAAGAGTAAACTCCTTAAGAACATTTTCAACACAACAGCTTACGCAAATCAACATGGACCTTTCCAAGAAATAAATGTTTCATTGAGTATTTCCTGGAAAGGTCTGTGTTAACTTCCATAAGCTGCCATATATGAAAATATACTTAAGGATTTTACTCTTATTCAATATTTGGCTTTCATGAAGACAAAATTTTAAATCTGAAAAGATTTTCAAGAGGTTAGGGTTTCAATAGTTTGTGTGAGAGTTTTTGGGGAGTCCAAAGTGCCTCCAGGTTTTTATGATCAGTTTTTAAAAATCCACTTTTCATCAAATTCAGTTGGCATGTCTTAATGAAAGGAATAATAATATGTAATTATGTGCCAGTATCAATCAGGTGTACTTTGTTTATTTCATGAAGAGAATATAGAGATAAGGCACTCACACTCATCCAATTTTTAAAAGAAAAACACGTTCCCCAAATAATTGTTGGAGTATGTATAGCTCTTTTAGCAATATCAGTAGATCAGTGTCAAAACAATGAATGAATGAATGAATGAATGAATGAATGAATGAATGAATGAATGAATGAATGAAACTACAAATTCACACATGTGAAATTCTGTTTTAGTCACCTGGTGGAGTAAAATTTTATTTATCATTTATTTTATGATACTAAGATATTTCACAAATAATCCAGAGTCCTCTTAGGATGGCATTAGGTAGATTCCTTTATTAAGCAACATATGTAATTGTTATATTAATCTTTAAACTTATTGTGAGATAAATTGGTTCTTGTTTTAAAGACAAAGAATAATATGTTTCTTATCAAGTATGACACATAAATAAAGAAAAGTGTATTTTAATCATGTAGAAATCAAATATCATACTATTAGAGATGAATAGTAGTGGCACAATGCAATTCTGAAGAGCCATATTCAAGGCTGATTCGAATATGTGAAAAAACTATGAATTCCTATATACTTTTGTGAATGTGACTTTACATGCTCTCTTCCATTCTATTGGACATTTCTATCAACTATCCTTATGTCAGCTTGAGAAGTTTGGAGATGACCAAGCATTCACTCAGTGGTACGGTATTCCTAAAGCAAAATTTGGAGACAGAAGCCCATTCAGGGTTGGTTAACATATTTTAAAATGTTATTGGAAATCTATTTTATCTTTCCTTCCTAACAAACTATCTTCCTGGTAAGACAAAAGATGGAGGAAATAATAGAAAGATCCTGCAAAGTTTCAAGTAGATGCTTGCTACATCTGTACCTCTGCACAACAATAACAGTCCTGCTTACCAACATCCAGATATTTAGCTCCCAGTAGCTAGTACTATGCACAAGGAGAAATTTAATCTGAAGACTACGGTAAGTATTTTATTATAGAGAAATAAATGTAATAATTATCATGCATTGCACAGAAGTAAATTTTCACACCTTTGCAAGTAATCTGGCTATTTAATGCCATATGCAAATTTCATTTAAATGTTAAACAATTAGTATTGAACAATGTTTGTATCCTGGAGAAGTGAGTCCTAATATTCTTCCTTCTCTTCCAACCTGACATAGAAATATAGAAAAGCTATCTACTAAATGTGTAGGCAAAGCTACGGTATAAGTGCAGAAGAACACAGGCAGTTAAATTGATTTATTTCTTAAATTCATATACCTCCATCTTCCCAATAAGAAGACTCTTACTTTTTAAAATTTATCTTGTGTGGTGTAACAGAATACAGCATTATAATGCTGTATCTCTTAAATGTATTTTTATCTACCAAAACATTATTTTTCACTACTTCTTTACATGCCAAAGATTTACTTCTTTGGCATGTTTCAATTCCTACTTTTCTGTTTCAAAAAGTATGTTGGGAGGAAGTATAATCTCTGTAGTATAGATAATCTAAAAGACACTTCACAGAGATCTAGGGAAAAATAAAACAGCAGATGCAAAATATGATATCGGTCGTCAGACATTTGATTAAAATGCCCCTTCACAGATATAGTCTTTATGTTAGTTCCCTCATTAAGATTATTCTATGGATGGATTGCTACATTTTCATTGTCTACCCATGTTCAATTTCCCTAGTCCCAGTCCGACAAGCAACACAGTGAAACAGACTTATTTATTTCAAGAATTAGTAAACTGTGAAAAGCAATGAGAATGAAATCTGTACTCATCAGGTGTCCAACTGCAGGCAGACTGAAAAGAGGAGATTCTTGACAGCTTCATTAGCCTGTCAGGAAGATTCACTTTTAGATCCTGAATGTAAAAAGTCACTGATGTGTGGACAATTTCTTTTCAACAATACTAGATGAGGATGACTTTTAAACAATTATCAGCATTATTATTGGTAACACAACCCTGATATTGAATGAAAGTATTCTGTGATCTAGTAGGATGCAGGAAAAGATCAAACTAGCAGATCCATTAACTTTCCAGAAAATATTTAGCATATAATTACTTTTTAGTTTGAAAAGTAATGCATCCTGTTGGCTTCCCAGTAAGTTGGAAAAGGTTCAAGTTGTGAACAAAATTGCCAAGATGCAAGATCCTCTAAGATAGTTACTGTTGGTATATAAATGGAAATACAGATTTTGGGATCCCATTCCCACTGGCTTAAAATTATAATTGGACTAGCTTTCTCTCAAAAGACCAAGAAATGAGAAAGGATGTAGAATAGACGAAAGCAAACAATTTTGGAGGGAGAGTTAGTTCAGAAGAAAAAAAAATCATGTGCATCCAGGTCTCATTGACACTGCCAGTTTTGAAATAAATCTGACCAAGCATTACCAATAACTGTCAATAACTGTCCAGCAACCTTTTTAAGATGACCAGAGATGATCTACATAATCACCTACTGGGCTGCTATAAAAATATTAAGATTATTTGATGCATAAAGTTGTTCAGATATGGTCTGAGTTGGATTCCAACTGGGCAGGTCCAGTGGCATCTGAGAATTGGTTTGATGGTGTGCTCTGGAATGAGTTTAAGTTGATGATTCCTGAGGAAATGAGCAAAATTTTCAGTCACTTCAGCTACCTGTTTATTGCAGCTAAACTCTTTCTGGATTGTTAAAGCAAGCAGGGAGGTGGATATCTAGTTGGGCTAATGCTATTATTCTGGCCTTGTTGAAGAGAATTAATGCCTTTGACCCCAGAGATGGTGGTGTATTCCAAGGTCAGCATTGGCAAATGATGTTAAACAACAATTAGCATATTTCCATCCTTCCTTTTAGGAATAGAAAAGGAACATTGTTGAGAGGTGGTTGGACTCCAACTGCAAAGAACCTTAGAGGAAGCATATTATCTAAATAGACTTCAAAAGGGTTTCAGTCTAGGATTTACTGAGATAACTTTGGTTATGCTTGTTGATGACCTGTGGCAGAGCCAGATGGAAGTGTTGTATCTATTCTTATGTTCCTTGATTTCTCAATAGACAATGATACCTTTGTCAGGGCAAATTCTGGCTCTGAAAGTGATCTTGGAGGTCTTCTAGTCTAAGTCCCTATCCAAGACAGGTGTCTTTATACCATCCTGCAAAAATGTGTGTATCTTGAAAATCTCCAGTGATAGAGCAACTACAATCCCTGGAGACAATTTGTTCTATTGATTAGTTTTTCTCACTTCAGGAAATTTTTCCTTAATCCAGACTGAATCTCCCTCTGACAAGCTTCTATCCATTGCTTGTCTTACCCTCAGTTGCTATTGAAAATAAATCAACCTCTCCTTTCCTGTGATGGCCTTTCAAATATTGAAAGTCTGCTATCATGTCTCCTCTAAGACTTCTCTTTGTTAGAAACATATTGAAGTGCTTTAGCCATTCATCATACAAATTATCCTCCAGACATCTTATCATCTTTAATGCTCTTCTCTGCACTCTTTCCAGTCCTCAGCATCTTTTTTTGTATTGCGGTGACAAGATTTAATAACCTTTTACTGAGTCAGATTGTTGATCCCTCTGACCTACTTTATCAACAATTTATAGAAGCAAGTCTTATAGGGGCCACACAGATATCTTTTTCAGCTTTACCTAAAATACTTCTATACCATATTTCTTCAACTTCCTAACTTCTTAGTCACCACTTTGAAGACAATATGTAAATCTCCTCAACCTGCTAAAATAAAAAATGGATCTCCATAAGTCATAAGTACTCTCCCTTCAGCTGCTCAGTAGGAGTTTGCAAAACATATAACTCAGTAATAATTTATTCCAAGCTACTATAGATCTTGGAGCAACAAAATAATCTTATTGCCCTTTTCTCTCTCTCTGGGGCTGTGAAACAGGCCACCAAGATGAACGATATGGGCACCATCAGAATGAGGAAGTTCATGACAAACCAGCTGCTTCAGCTTAAGCAAATGGTAATTGATAGCCTTCATCCTGGAAAAGCCACTGTCCCCAAAACAGAAATTCGTGAGAAGTTGGCAAAAATGTATTAGACAACACCAAATGTCATTTTTTATAAAGAATGTTTTAAATTTTTGAATAAACACAAACAGACAAAACACACAAAACCAAACACAAAACCAAACACAAAACCATCTTCCATTACAAATTGTAGAAAGTGTATCGATTGGTTACAAAAACTTCTGTGCATCCCTTCCACAGTCACCACCTACAATTCATATCAAATCATATATTTTAAATCATTACTATCATCATACCTTAACCTTCATTTGACTATAATTGTTTTTACGTCCTTTTATATAAAATATTCCAGATTTAAAGCAAAACCACATAATGGCATTCCATTAGCTGTTCCCAGTAACATTACATCTTTATAACATGTTCTAAATAAAAATAGGTTATATTTAATAACAGAGTTTCTAAACCTCCTTTTGTAGTCACCATTTGCAATTTATATCAAATTTCCTCTTATCAAACCAATACATATATATGCATTATTATCATTATCAATCAATTATTTAACTGTATCCATTATCACTTCATTTTATACATAATGCTCTAAATTTAACTAAATTTAACTTATTTTTTTATTATAAGCTTTCATTACATAAAACTGTGTCTTTCCAGTAACAGTGCAGTCTTATGTCTCTTGCCATTTGTTGCATTAGTATTCTGGTTATTTCCTTAGTAAGTTTTGTATTGACTTCTCTTTATAAGCTGAAAACCTTTCATCTGCTTCTTCGGTCAGCTTATCTTTGGTTATCACTAGTGCTTCTGACAAAATTTCTCTCCTTAGTTCCATCAATTCTTCTCTCTTTTTCTTCTTCTATACTTTGAAATCTGGGGTAGAGCTCTAGTCCATCTATCTTCCCTTTCCATATTCCACTCTTTCCATTTCCAACCACACTCAGTTCACTGTCAGTATCAACAATATTCTTGTCTCTTTGTTTATTTTTTCCTTCAGTTTTTAGAACTCTGACCTCCACTTTCTTCATTTGATGAACATCCTCAATTTTTCCATCAAATTTTACTGTTCTAAGATCTATGTTCTCCAATCTCTTCTCAATTTTCTCTGTTACTCCTAATAATTTTTGAATTTCAAACATAATCTTTTGCAATGTTAAACACCAGATGTCATTTTTGTCTTCGGCTTCAGAACCCATTTTGGTGGTGAGAAAACCACCGGCTTTGGCATGATCTATGATTCTGTAGTCTACGCAAAGAAAAATGAACCAAAGCATAGACTTGCCAGCCATGGCTTGTATGAAAAGAAAAAGATGTCCAGGAAGCAGTGGAAAGAGCATAAAAATAGGATGGAGAAGGTCAGAGGAACAGGGAAAGCCAGTTCAGTTCTATGAATAAATTTCTATGAAAATAAAATCATCTTATTGCTTTCCATATCAAAAAAAGGAATAAGAAAAAAAGAAAGAAAGAAAGAAAGGAAAGAAGGAAGGAAGGAAGGAAGGAAGGAAGGAAGGAAGGAAGGAAAAATGAGACATTGCCAGGCCTCCAATCAAGTTTCTAAAATATATGAATAAATCTAATAATTTGCAAAACAAATATTGTTAAAAAAGTGCAATACCAAAGCATCTGTGAGGAAGACTTTACACTATTACACTATTTACTTAAAAGCTTCTTGTTAACTGTGATGTTGAAAGGATGGCAATTACAAATAGAGATTTTTTACAGTAAGTGAATATTCCTGCAATGGCTTGAGTGGAGGAAAGCAGGGGATGTATTCTAAATTGCTAATGCCTCTCTGTGTCATTTACCATGTAGGGAATGGGGTGAGAAATAAGCATCTTTGTTCTCTGTATACTAAAGTGAGGAAAAAAACTTTTTGTCCTTCTATCTTTCACAAAAAGATTTTGTGCACGTAATAGTCATAAAGACCTGCAAATAGTACAGGTATTTTTTGCATTTTAAAGCAGATTAAGATCTACATTTGTACAGTATGTCATTATGCAAAAGAAATATATAATCTGAGCTTAGCTGTATGCCTATCAACTTGCCTTTCCCATTTGAAGGACCTGTGTAAAGCCATTAAATCATTTTTTCCCCTATAAGGAACTGGGAAGCAAATACTACATCAGTTGATGCCTGGGAGCTAGAATAAGGTTAGAGTTCTTATCAATGGGAAAACAGATTGTTTGCAAACACCACAGAGTCTCAGTGGAACAAATGGAAAGTTAGCTTTATGCATGTATATGTGTTGACAAAGATTTTGACTGCATCACAGCTGCCCCTGAAATGCATCAGTTTGGCTTCTGCAAACAAGCAACAATTTAAAGCTATTTTGAAGCAATGCAAAGAGCTAATGTGATCATTTTGCATGCAAGACACATATTTCATCACTGAGCTGTCATTTTCCCACTACAATCCATATATAGTCTGCAAATTCATTGATTTCAATGGCATTTGCTTCTATGCAGTAGACCCAATTCAAGGAAACTAAATACTCCCAATGTAATAGTGGCAAATAAATAGATCCAGCAAAGCTTTCCACATTTCCTAACTTAGGTTAGATCAGTATTTGCTGAATGCATGAACAGCGGGAAAACATTTAGTGCAAAACACTGGCAAGGTTTCAATTATTTCTTATTTGTCAGATTAGAGAGACAATATATGTGAAATAATAATTGAGTCTTTAGCAGTACAGAAGAAACTGAGGATCCTGCTCTCAGTTGCTCTTTCTTACCTAACATTGCCACTTCTTCAATCATATAGGGTAAGTTGTATGCAAACAACTGGATGTTTAATTCTCTTCTTAGTGAAAACATAGCAACAGAGAAACCTTTGCCTCTGCTAAGCCTATGGGGCTTATCCTTGGATGTCCGTTGAGAATGTTAAGCTAAATTGTTGACCAACGTGAGATGAAAGTGCAATAAAGATTTCTCAAAAAGAGATCTAAAGGAAGTTTATTTAAGATTAAATCAGAACATAAGACTATTTTGTCACATGAAACGGATCCCAAGTATCTGTTTTGGGTTCTCCAGTGACTCCTCAAATAATTTCTACACCTATTCAAATAGTATGGCACCTCTTTTCTTTCTATAAGTGTCAAATCACTTTGTCATAAATTCAGTGGTCAGCTGTGAGTGGACTGCCACCAGTAGACCAGACTGCTAGAATTACTTTTATCTGATCAAAATTCACACATATATAAAGCTTGAAAAGTGAATCCATTACTGAAAGATATATGCAGAAAATTATTAGGTTTAAAAAGAGAACATTTGAATGGAGAAAATTATACATTAAAAATGATAGCAAAATGATTTGCATTTATAAAAGATTCATGGACAATTTATATTCATAGTAATCTATATTATGGAAAAAGTATAGAAATTTTATATAAAGAATATAAAGAATAATACAATTTTATTACTTTTAAAAATTTATTTAAAATACTGCACTGGAAGTCTGCCCTATCAGTGGATAGTAAAATAAACAGGTCCACACTTTTCTATTTCTTTTTTGCTATGTTTCTTTGTCTTGTGTATTGAATTCAAATGTTTAAATGGAATGAAGCATTACAGTCTCTAAAGTGAAAATATCTTATTACTACTTTACTTACAGGTTTCTAAGTGTTTGTTCAAATTGTTAGTTACTAAAATTTAAGCAACAATGCACCATCATCCTCAATGTTAAAATCTTTTATGGATACAAATGTTCTACATTATTAATATTTAGATAATATTTCAAATATTAAGAGTAACATAGTGGCCTAGCAATGAAGATGCTCGACTCCTACTGCACAGGATGGAAATGTAGCAAATTTAAAAAGGGATAATGTAACACATTTACTTTACAGACAATGTTTGCTTACAGCTCAAACTGTAAATTCAATCAATGAACTTTTATCAACTGTCACAAATAAGGTTCACTGCTTGAAAGAGTCTTTTGCTAAATTTATTAAGAATTACTGTCAGCCTCTGCTTTGCTGCTGCTTTTCGGCTGCCATTGAAACGGGGAGGGAGGGCATGGTATTTGGGGAGGGAATCATTCTGTACTGGAGGGCTGTTATTTGGGAGTTATTCTCACCATCTCTTTGCGCATGTGGAAGGAGGGGAGTTTCCCGCCGAGGCCAACTGTCTAGCATTCCAACCTGATGATGATTTTTGAAGATGTCTCCCACCTGACAGTT